CCTGTGTTCTGGTGGGCAGGGCTGCATCCGGTTGTGTGTTTTGGGGTGTCTGTGAACTTAGTATGGTTTTAGACAGCCTCTCTGTTAATGGGTGGTGTTGTGTTCCTGTCTTGCTAGTTGTTTGTCATAGGGCATCCAGCACTGGAGCTTGCTGGCTGTTGGTTGGAGCTGGGTCTTAGCATTGAGATGGAGATATCTGGTAGAGCTCTCGACAATTGATATTACATGGGGCCAGGAGGTCTCTGGTGGTCCAATGTCCTGAACTTAGCCCTCCCACCTCAGAGGCTCAGGCCTGACACCAGGCTGTAGCACCAAGACCCTGTCAGCCACACAGCTCAGAAGAAACAGGAGAAAAAAAAGAAAGAAAATAAAATGAAATGAAATTATTAAAATAAAAAAATTATTAAAATAAAGTAATTTAAAAAAAAGAAGAGAGCAACCAAATCAATAAACATATCCACCAGTGATAACAAGTGCTAAAAACTATACTAAGATAAACATAAAAATCAGAAACAAGTCAGTTGCAGACAGAAAACCCCAAGTCTACAGCTCTTCCCAAAGTCCACTGCCTCAATTTTGGGTTGATTCATTGTCTATTCAGGTATTCCACAGATGCAGGGTACATCAACTTGATTGTGGGGATATAATCTGCTGCTCCTGAGGCTGCAGGGAGAGATTTCCCTTTCTCTTCTTTGTTTGCACAGCTCCTGGGGTTCAGCTTTGGTTTTGGCCCCGCCTCTGCGTGTAGTGTTCCCCACCCACACAGGAGAGGGTTAAAGCAGCGGCTGATTAGGGGGCTCTGGCTCACTCATGCCTGGGGGAAGGAGGGGTACAGTAGTTATAATTGGAATACAGGATGAGCCTGCAGTGGCAGACGCCAGTGTGACGTTTCAACAGCCTGAGGCGCGCTGTGTGTTCTCTCAGGGAAGTTGTCCCTGGATCACAGGACCCTGTCAGTTGCAGGCTGCACAGGCTCCCTGTGGGGGAGGGGTGTGTATAGTGACCTGTGCTTGCACACAGGATTCTTGGTGGCTGCATCAGCAGCGTTAGTGTTTCGTCCCTGTCTCTGGCGTCTGTCTGGTAGCCATGGCTCACAGCCGTCCCTGGAGCTCGTTTAGGCAGTGCTCTGCCTTCTGTGGGCAGACAGGGAAGGAATCCCCTCTCTTCGCGCACCCCGAAACAATGGTCTCTTGCCTCTTAGGCAGTTCCAGACATTTTCCCGGACTCCCTCCCGGCTAGCTGTGGTGCACTAACCTCTTCAGGCTGTGTTCATGCCACCAACCCCAGTCCTCTCCCTGGGATCTGACCTCCGAAGCCTGAGCCTCAGCTCCCAGCCCCCACCCGCCCCAGCGGGTGAGCAGACAAGCCTCTCGGGCTGGTGAGTGCCGGTCGGCACCGATCCTCTGTGTGGGAATCTCTCCGCTTTGCCCTCCGCACCCCTGTTGCTGCGCTCTCCTCCGTGGCTCCAAAGCTTCCCGCTCTGCCACCCGCAGTGTCCGCCCGCGAAGGGGCTTCCTAGTGTGTGGAAACCTTTCCTCCTTCACAGCTCCCTCCCAGAGATGCAGGTCCCGTCCCTATTCTTTTGTCTCTGTTTTTTCTTTTTTCTTTTGCCCTACCCAGGTACGTGGGGATTTTCTTGCCTTTTGGGATGTCTGAGGTCTTCTGCCAGCGTTCAGTAGGTGTTCTGTAGGAGTTGTTCCACGTGTAGATGTATTTCTGGTGTATTTGTGGGGAGGAAGGTGATCTCCATGTCTTACTCCTCCGCCATCTTGAAGGTCCGCCTTGCCATATAGCTTTTAAAGATTCTCCTCTGCTTATGCCAAGCTCTCATGCACCTGGACTTCCACAAAGCAAAATGCACTGTGGCAATTGTTTTCTGGATACTTCAGGTAAAAAGGCCAACCTCTACCCAGATATCTATGGATCTACCTATTTATCAATATGTCTGTAGCTAAGACTTAAATATGGCCCCTACGGTGTGCTACATGCCATTCTAAGCATTTTACATAAAAACTCTTTTTACCTTTATCAGAGAATTCTATGATAATTGCTTCAATATTGATGTGGGGTAAATTTGGGGAGACTGACATTAGATATAAGACTCTTTCTATACCTCTTCTGGGGAATGTATCCTGTTGTATTGTACTCATCTTTTTCTTGTCTGTTTGCCCCTGTTCTGGATCTCTTTATTCATTTAAAATTTTTATTGAAGTGTGGTTGATATACAATGTTGTGTTAGTTTCTGGTATACAGCAAAGTTATTCAGTTATATATATATATATATATATTTTATATACACATATATATATTCTTTTTCAGGTTCTTTTGCATTATAGTTTATCACAAGATATTGAATATAGTTCCCTGTGCTATATAGTAGGATCTTGTTGTTTATCTATTTTATATATAGTAGTGTGTATCTGCTAATTCCAAACTCCTAATTTATCTCACTCCCTCCACCCATCCTGATCTCTTCATTAACAAGGGCCGTGGCTTTCTTCTCTGTTCCCTAATGTTAGCACAAAGCCTGATATATAAGGGGCCCTCAATAAATCTTTTTGAATGAATTAAAGTAGAGCAATAAAGGAAGACAAAGAAAATCTTATTGTTGGAATACTTTCTTTTAGTTGGTAGGCAGTGTGGTTTGACTTAACAGGTCTGAGTCCTAATTTCCTCATTTGGAAAATAGGGAAAATAATACTAACCTTAAAGGGCAGTTGTAAGAAGTAAATGAATTTATCAAAAGTACCTATTTTTTTTTTTTTTTTTTTTTTTTTTGCGGTACACGGGCCTCTCACTGCCGTGGCCTCTCCCGCCACGGAGCACAGGCTCCGGACACACAGGCCCAGCGGCCACGGCCCACAGGCCCAGCTGCCCCGCGGCACGCAGGACCCTCCCAGACCGGGGCACGAACCCGCGCCCCCTGCATCGGCTGGCAGACTCCCAACCACTGTGCCACCAGGGAAGCCCCACCTAGCATATTTTAAGTCACTGTGAAAAAAGATGGCTTATTCCATAAATGGTGTTAAGAAAACTAAGTAGCTGCCTGGAAAAATACGAAGCTGAATCCCTGTCTCGCATCTTACACAAAAGGAAATCTCAATGATGATTGCACAACTCTATAAATATACTAAAATCCATTGAATTGTACACTTTAAATGGGTGAATGATATGATATGATATCTCAATAAAGTTGTTATAAAAATAAATCCCGGAAGATCAAAGATTTAAGTGTAAAAACATGGAACTGTATTAGAAGGAAACATAAGGTAGTTTTTAATATGTTATTGGAAGGGAGAATGACCTTTTCAAGCAAGACATACTGTTCTAAAGCCATAAATAAAAGTTTGATAAATTTGATTATGTAATAATTGAATATTTTGCAGAAGAAAATACTAGAAACAAAATCTAAAGAAAAATATGATGAAAAGTGAGAAAATAATTAAAAGCCCATAGAACAAAAGGCTAATTACTGTAATATATAAAGAGCTCTTAAGAATCAAAGTGAAAATGACCAAAAACCCAACAAAAAATATGGGCAAGGTACAAAAGCAGGCAGCTCAGAGGAAGAGCTTATATCAGTATATTCTCCAACCAACAGCCTAATGGTACAAGCTCTTTAGAAGCAATATTTGATCTATTTGTCCAACTTAAAAATACATAAGTCCTCCAATCTAGCAATTTGGCTTCTAGGAATTTATTCTATAGCTATTTATACATGTGTCTAGACATAAACATAAGTATAGTCATTGCATTAAATGTTTGTAACAGCACAATACTTGAAATCAAACTAAATATCAACCAACAAAGAAGTAGAGAAATAATAGCATTTTGTTTAGTGAAAAACTATGCAGCTCTTAAAAACAGTTGATGAAGAACCCCAAAATATATCAATTAAAAACAAAACAAGGTGCTGGACAATGTGTTTACTGTTCACGTTTTAAATTTTTATATATTGCACAAACATATGTTTGCATACGCATAAAATATTCTAGCTTCTTTCTATCCCCCCAAACCCATCATGCCCAAAATTCAGCTCATGAATAACAAGATGAATGAATTCCTTTCACATGTATCATCTATCTCTGCATTTAATTTCTGCACCAACCCTACAGAAAAGATACTAATACTTTCTTTTGAAAATATTACATGTTTTGAACCTTTGAGTTTGCTTATTCAGTAGTTGCAACTACTAATGCTAAATCCTTGATGCCAAAGCTCTGCTGTACAGGGAACAAGCTTAAACTTATAGAATGATGTAGGACATCCTTCATCAACCGACATTGTCCTTCTTTCCCAGATTACTCTCCTATCTCCTTTTGCTTCTAGCACACTGCTCCAAGTTCTTTCACACTGTTCCTCCTTTCCATGTTTAGGGCCTCTTCCAATGATGCTTTCACACCTCAGCTCAATGAAATCCTATTTACATTTTCTTAAAATGTCAACTCAAATGCCACCCACTTGGCAAATCTTTACCTGTCATCCTAGGCAACACCAATGGTTCCAGCACAACTACAGCTCATAGTTTTCATAGTTTGTCCTGTATTTCAAAAGCATTTTATATAAGTCTATTAAAACTAATTATATTATTTCAAGGTCATGGGCATATTGAGATTAGAGGCCCTATTTTTATTCTCATTACTACCACAACGTCTAGAATATAGTAGCAGTTTGATAAATATTTATTAGAAAAATTATTTACCTGAATTTGAATCATTTTTAATTACCCATAGGTTGAAGGACTTCATATTCAGCATGACAGATTTGGGGATTGAATAATACATCTCTTCTAAGAATTTGAAACGAAAATGTTTTATTGATGGAAAATCTTTCTTCATCTTGCCTTCTAGAATTCAAATGAATGTTCATGCTCCATGAAGAGAATGGGCTGTGGTTTTTTGTTACAGATTTGGAGCCAGTAAATTTTTATAAATGTAAACCTTACCATGTCTTCTGGAAGCTTTCCTGTTCTTTAATTACTTTTTCCTGTGTTTTCATAGGAACCAGGGAAAATGTGTTGAGGGCATGGTGGAGATCTTTGACATGTTGCTGGCTACATCGTCTCGGTTCCGTATGATGAATCTCCAGGGAGAGGAGTTTGTGTGCCTCAAATCCATCATTTTGCTTAATTCTGGTGAGTGGATAACATGGGAAAATTTCATGCTGGTTACTGGAAGAAATATTTATTTGTATTTTCAACCAGGTACAAGCTACCTACTACAAAGACATAATCACAAATTGATAGAAACAATTAACACATTTAAAATAAGAAAATAAATAAAATAAAATGCCTATCTTCTTTTTAAATTACTTATGGAGGTGAAACCATGCTGGTCAAAAATGATGAATGAAAAACAGAAATTGAACATTGAATCCAATGGCCTTTCTGTTGAAATACTTTTATCCTCTCACAGATATTGGGGATGTTTTTATTTAAGTGGCACATGTATGTGGACATAAGTCTGTTGTTAGTTGTATATGTCAGAAAGTAAGTACAGCGAGTGACCCTGTTAGGATAGTGTGACCAATTCTAAGTTCCAGGTCATAAGCAAAGAGGCTTATTTGAGGCAGACCATGTTTCTGGTCAAAATTGATTAGCTGAAAAATATAATTGGCTTAGAGATAGAAAAACCTAGTTCTAAAACTGAGGAACGTGGAGTTCGGTACATTGGTCCAGCTGGAAGAGTGGTTTTCATTTGATCCATGGTGTCTAATTCAACTGTCCCCTCCTATGTATTCATTTGAGAAAGCTTAGCTGAGAGTGGCATCTGTTTTTTTTGTTTGTTTTTTTTTTTTTGGTGAGGTTGGCTGTTGCATAATGAGTCACTCCAGGTCACCCAGATGGAAACTATGGCTCAGCCTGAATCAGCACCCTGACTCGTCCCAGACTCCTTGGTAGTTGAGTCTAAGCACTAGATCCCCAGTCTGCACCACCTGAAGCTTAACAATGGGGTGTCACCTGCACTGTAGATGCCCTTAATCTGGACCTTAGTCCCCCAGCCTCAGGCCTACCTCATGCCGGAGACCTCATTCTCACATACAAATCACAACTGTTTGGAAGCCCTGGACCTGATTTTAGATTGAGATTCTTACATCATTCGATACGGTCTCAAAGTTCCCAATAGCTGAACTACAGTTTGTGTTGACCCCATATGGAAAGCGTCGGCACTCCCTTGTCTTTTGAGATGTTTTGTTTCTTCCTGTTGAATGCCAATCCCTTCCCATATCCCCTAACAATTTTCCACTTCTCTTCCCCACCAATGCTAGTAACCTATATTGCTTAATGGTTGTCATAGTAATCATTCTCACTTAGCTGATAAATGGAAATCTGTACTATTACACTAGGCAGGGACTGAATTACAGAATGAAGTTGCATGAAAAATAATGTGGTCTCTACTAAGCAAGTGATTACCACTCCATTCAAGTTTCAGGTTCCACTCAACGTGCATTGTGCTTTTCATTTGAGTCATTTGTCCTATATGTTGAAGGGTCCAGATCCCACAATGGCTCTTTATTGGATGAGAGTTCTGGGAGCAGTGCCACTCGGCTGCACAGTGCCAGGTCCTGAACCTGCTCCTTCTTTGTTGGAGGGCTGGCACACGCCGACGTCTCTCATGTGGGCAGTCTATTAATTTCAGGGAAGGCGGGCCTGTCAAGTGCTGGGACTTTCTTCCTACCTTTACCAGGAAATAATACCCCAGACAGGAAGTGAAATTAGCTGGAGTTATAAAATCAACAAAAGGAGCTGCTCTGATCTTGGTAATCAAAAATATATCCTTCAGACCTGCATTACTGGTCTGTTCCTATGGGAGGGTGTTTTTTTTCATATTATGTAATAAAAAAGGCAGGACTTTTGCCATCAAAATATTGGATTTATAGACCTAAGTATTTTAAATCCCAGAGGAAAAATTTAAGCCCTCACAAGAAAGTATTTATTAAAGACTGGCATCAGCATCTCCAAACATTATTTCCCACCGCAGGATTTGGACCTCCACCTGCTACCCCCTGACACCAGTTAAACTTTCCTGCTCTATCCTTGTTCTTTTACCTCTTTCTCAGGATCTTCTGTGAGCTCCCTTGCGCCAGGAGGGTTGGAACGCTATTTTGGAAATACAAGGCACTGTTTTACTGACAGAGTTTATAGTTGTCTTTTTCTTGAGATACCAGTAGCTCATCTTTTCTTGTAAGGACGGCACTGCTGGCCCACGAGCTGTAGCAAAACAGAAGCCGTCTCTCAACTTGGGAAAAGTGAAATCGCTCTTTCCACTCCAAAAGTGAGCTCTGTTTTGGAAAAGCGGATCTGTCGCTGAGCACAGCTCCTGGTGTCTCATATTGTTCCCGAAAAACAGAATCAAAAAAACATGACTCCTAAACACAGTGGTGTGGTGCTCAGGGCCATTTTCAGAGTCAAAAAGTGATCAGTCATATGAGGGTCACCACAGCCATCAACGGGTTTTTCCCGCAACTGGAGGTATGGACTTTTCTAAAAACCCAACCAATTCCTTGCTCTGATCAGGGGCAGCTCTTCACCTGTCATGAGACAAAATACAAAGTGACTCTAATTCCTGGAATCTCTGATGGAAGCCAAGCTAGAAATGATTCAGGAAAACTGCACGAGAAGATACTTTTCTGGTCCCTGGGAAACAAGACCTCAGTGTATGGAGGAACCCTGGGTTTTGGGCTTAGCCCCTGTCAACAAAGTCTGAGAAGGGTGTGTTTACATTGGCCTTGACTTTGGGGCCGAGACACGAGGGGAGTTGAAAGGTTGTTATGAGGACCTGCTAGGAATGTCTTTCTGGAAGCATTGAGAAGGTCTCCCAAATGCCAACATTTCCAGGGGAAGCCCTCTTCACAGCTGTTTGCGAGTGGGAGGTATTCATCATTTCTGAGACAGAATAATTTATTACTTTGCTTGCAAAAGCCTCTAATCATCCATAGGACAAACACTGTTTGTTTTTATACTCCCCACCAAAGGACAGAGGCATTGCTAGTTAATCCAAAGATGCCCTAGCCAAATCAATGCTAGTGTCAAGGCATTCTGAGAACTAGCTGGACAGGGTTCAAGGTAGGGCAAATGCGAACAGAGCAGATGAGCTCAGGGCAAAAGGCTGGGAGGCAGCAGCAGTGGGAGAGGAGAATGGAGCTGGAGCTACAGAGCAGGACCGAGAAGGAGGTTCTGTGCCCGTTTACTGTATTCCTGCTACCCAGCGTGACTTCAGTTCTTCTCTGTAATATTCCAATATTTCAACTTCTTCAGGTCCGGTTCAGATCTCACCTCATTCAGGAAATCTTGCTACAACCCAAGTCCATAATGAGATTTTCTTCTCCAGACTATTTTAGTTCTTAGAGCCAGTACCTTACAATCTAGCATTTGGGCAGTTGGTGCACTGATTTCAATAATTGATTCAATAAGTTCATTAATTTATTCAATAACTCATCAGTTATGGAATTCCCACCATGAAATTTAAGCCAAATATATGGAAGTGAATGACATCGTTCTTTGGTTTTTCAGTGTTTTATCTTAGCCTGGATGGGTTCTTTATGCATGTATGTCCTAATTTTCCTATAAACTATTAATTTTTTTTATTCCTCACAGCCTGTGAACTGCCAACAAGTATTAGACCATTCAGTCATTTAATAGACGCGTATTTGCTGGGCATGACCAGAAGCACCTAGAAAGTCCCCATTTTTCCCGTGCTGTTCCCACCATGATGAAACATATCATCTTTTTCAGTGTACTATAGATCTAGATAATGTCAGACTATTAATGGGAAAAAAATAATGCCCATCTCCTTGGGTTATTGTGAGATCAAGGGGAAACTGTGTATAAAGTGTCTACTGCAGTTCCTGGAACATAGTAGGTCCTCAATCAGTGACAACTGTCATCATCACTCATGAGAATCTCTGGCTTAAACGGAGTCAGTTCATGCCTTTTTTTCAATAAAATTAAGTGCTTTTAGTTTAAAGGCCTCCCTTCCGCTAGGCTTAAAAAAATATACAATGGAATATTACTCAGCCATAAAAAGAAACGAAATTGAGCTATTTGTAATGAGGTGGATAGACCTAGAGTCTGTCATACAGAGTGAAGTAAGTCAGAAAGAGAAGGACAAATACCGTATGCTAACACATATATATGGAATTTAAGAAAAAAAAATGTCGTGAAGAACCTAGGGGTAAGACAGGAATAAAGACACAGACTACTGGAGAACGGGCTTGGGAAAATGGGGAGGGGGAAGGGTGAGCTGTGATAGGGCGAGAGAGAGACATGGACGTATATACACTACCAAACGTAAGGTAGATAGCCAGTGGGAAGCAGCCGCATGGCACAGGGATACCGGCTCGGTTCTCTGTGGCTGCCTGGAGGGGTGGGATAGGGAGGGTGGGAGGGAGGGAGACAAAGAGGGAAGAGATATGGGAACATATGTATATGTATAACTGATTCACTCTGTTATAAAGCAGAAACTAACACACCATTGTAAAGCAATTATACCCCAATAAAGATGTTAAAAAAAATAAAATAAAATTCACACACACACAAAAGAATATGCAAGGACAGGAGGGTAATAATAACAATAGAGAGTGTAACTGTTCTCCTGAGGCTTTGTAAATAGTGCTATTTAATTTTATTTAGAGGAATTTTAGAGCAAGATTATCTCATGGATAGTAATTGATTGTTATTTGAACCTTAATTTTGACAGACCTTAATGAAAACTCTGTGGTGTCCCCATTCACCATCAGTTGACTCTGCTTCTTCTCATCCTCTTTCCCCATCTATGTGATCCTCATAAAGCCTTCGGAATCCACTCTCATTCAGCACACCGCCCATTTAGGAAGTGTTTTTCAAGACTCGGAAAAATTCATGAGTCAAAGCTTAATACGTATAAATCTGCAGTCTCTAATGAATGTTGGGTTTGGCCTTCAAGATCGATTTAATAGGGCTTCTGTGGTGGCGCAGTAGTTGAGAGTCCGCCTGCCGATGCAGGGGACAGGGGTTCATGCCCCGGTCCGGGAAGATCCCACATGCCGCGGGGCGGCTGGGCCCGTGAGCCATGGCCGCTGAGCCTGCGCGTCCGGAGCCTGTGCTCCGCAACGGGAGAGGCCACAACAGTGAGAGGCCCGCGTACCGCAAAAACA